ACCTCTCGAGGTCCCTTCCAGTCCTAGAATCTATGAATCTATGAAAAAAATCCTTAAGCAGAAGGGAAGGGAGAGGGATGGCAACTTTATCTGTCAAGCGAAGAAACGATGCCTGTCTGTGCCTTTACTTCCTAATACCATGCTAGCACACCAGCGGTTTCCCAGGTCTTTACTTAACCCTCACATATCCCAACACACTCTTTAGCACAAGCAGCATTATAGGCCTTTCACAAAGTCAGAGTGTCAAAACCCCCACCCCAAAGTGGCATGACCTCACTATTGCAGGTGCATTCCACTGTGGTAGGACACAAGTTGGCAGGGAACCAACACAGAATTGGAGAGCCAGGGAGGGCAAAGAGGTAGATAATGGCAAAAAAGTTTAATTTAGGTGTAAGCTTTGAGAAGGGAAGCTTGTTTTCCCATTATGCTCTCTGCAGGACCATGCAGTACTGAAATGAGTAACAACTGTGGTTTGGCAGTGTCATGGCATATTCTGGTTACAGGAAAAACCCAAGATTGTTACAACGAGGGACAGGGACAGGGCACACCCTTTGCTTACTAAAAGATAAGAGAACTGGTGCTCATTCCCGCCACTGTTACAAATACATGGAGTAAAGGATGGCTCCACTTTAGTCACTAGTTAGTGCTAACACCATTGTGTCATTGTCGCACATGCAGAGTAAAACCCAGGGCAGCCCATGGATGAGGGCACCTGGCTCCAATTGAAGCTAGAGGCAGGATATGGACCCAAGAGGTTTCAGCACAGCCACAGTCCTGTCTATTCAGGCACCACAGCATGTCACAGAGGCCACTCGTTGCCAAAGGATGGTGGTCTAGAATCCAAACTTTAAAAATTTCACACTCTTGGGGTTGCAAAAGACAGTTACCTTTTTCCATAACTGGTGTTCTTCGAGATGCGTTGCTCATTCAACTTAGGTGTGTGTGCTCGGCCCATGCACCGGTGCTAGAAGTTTTTCCCATAGCAGTATTTGTAGGGGACCGGCTCTGGCGCCCACTAGAGTGGCACGCATATGCCGCCGGCTCCCTCCACCCTCAGTTCCTTCTTGCCGAAAATTCCAACAGCGGGGAAAGAGGGGAGGGGAGGGGTGTCATTGAATGGACACGAATAATACATCTCAAAGAACACCAGTTATGGAAAAAGGTAACTAACTGTCTTTTCTTCTTCGAGTGATTGCTCATGTCCATTCAACTTAGGTGACTCCATGCAGTACCCATGGAGGTGGGTAAGGAGTTCACGGACATGTAGATTGCAACACAGCTCTGCCGAACCCAGCATCGTACTTGGCCTGCTGTGTGATGGCATAGTGGGCTGCGAATGTGTGTACCGAGGACCACATACAGGCTTTACAGATGTCCTGGATCGGAACATCTGCCAGGAAGGCCGCCGAGGATGCCTGCACTCTAGGCGAGTGGGCTCTGACAATCGGCGGTGGGGCCCCTGCCAGCTCATAACAAGCCCTTATGCAAGCTGTAATCCAGTTAGAAATCCTCTGTGTGGACACCAGATGCCCTTCATCTTATCAGCTGTAGAGATGAAAAGTGGAGTTGACCTATGGAAAGGCTTTGTCCGAGCTAGGTAGAAAGCCAGGGCCCTTATTACATCCAAAGTGTGGAGGCGTCTCTCTTCACTAGTCTCATGGAGCTTAGGGCAGAAGACCGGAAGGAAGATGTTCTGGCATATGTGGAAAGCAGACACCACCTTGCTAAGGAAGGCCAGGTGCCGACATTACTGCCTCCAGAAAAGTTATCTTCCATGATAGGTGAGACAGGGAGCACGAGGTCAAAGGGTGGGCCCATGAGCCTGGACAGAACCAAGTTGACATCCCACAGAGGGACTGGGGACTGAACTTGAGGAAAAAGTCTCTCAAGACCTCTGAGGAACCTAACCATCACGTCATGGGAGAAAACCGTCTGCCTTTGGACGGGGAGATGAAAGGCGGATATGGCTGCCAAATGCACCTTGATAGAGGAGTGTGCCAGGCCCTGGTTCCTCAAATGAAGCAGGTAGTCTAAGATCGACTGCACCAAAGAATGCGAAGGAGAGATGCCCCATTCGGCCGCCCAGTGGGAAAAATTCATCCACTTTGCCAGGTAGGTCTGTCTGGTCAAGGGTTTTCTACTTCCAAACAGGTCCGTTCTTCAGGATTCAGCCACATAGCATCCACACTGGAGAGATGCAAGGTTGAGGTGTAAGAGGCGACCGTGGTCCTGTGACAGGAGAACTGGTCGATCCAGCAGGGGTCACGGGGGGACCGCTGCCAAGTTCAATAGCGTGCCAAATCAATGTTGATCATGATAACCTGTGCCTTGTCCCTCTTGATTTTTGCTAGGACCTTGCTGATGAGCGGAATCGGAGGGAACGTATACATCAGGATTCCTGCCCACGGCAGGTGGAAGGCGTCAAAGAGGAAACCCTTGCCCAGACCCCATCTGGAGCAGAACCTGTGGCACCTCCTATTCTGCCTGGTGGCGAACAAATCCACTTGTGGAGTTCCCCACCTCTGGAAGATCATGCCAGCTACCTCTGGGTGGAACACCCACTCGTGGTGAGAGTCCCTGCTTAGGTGATCTGCTACCATGTTCCTGGCACCCGGCAGGTGACACGCTTCTAGATGGATTCCGTGGTCGATGCAGAAGTCCCAGAGACGGAGTGCCTCTTGGCAGAGGGCCAAGGATCATGCTCTGCCTTGCCTGTTGATGTAGAACATTTAGGCTGAGGACTCTGACCACTCTGCCCAATCGGTGAGGTAGGAAGACCACGCATGCTCTGCACACCACCCTGAGCTCTTTGACATTTATGTGTAGCGTTGATTCCTCTGGAGACCACATACCTTGGGTCTGGAGGCTGCCGAGGTGTGCCACCCAGCCGAGGTCCGAGATGTCTGAAACCAATTTGACTGAGTGAGGAGTACTGACGAAGGGAACTCCTTCGAGGACTTTCCTGGGGTTGGTTCACCATTGCAGCGAGGTAAGTACTGTCGTGGGGATGGTAGCGATCTTCTCCTGGGAATAGACCATCGCCAGCCATTGCTACAGGGGTCGCATTTGGAGCCTGGCCTTGCGCACCACATACATACACGCTGCCATGTGACCTAGGAGGCGCAGGCAAACCCTGGCCATGGTCAGGGGAAACGCAGAGACTTCCATGATGAGGTCCATCAGTGCCCTGAATCTCTCCAGTGGCAGGAACACTCTGGTGCAGGTTGAGTCGAGCACCTCTCCGATGAACTCTATCCTCTGTACCAGAATTATCGTGGATCACCACCAACAGGCCTAGGCGACGGCAAGTGGCCAGCAGCACCGCGATGTCCCCTTGGACCTGGAGTTGCCCTTGATGAGCCAGTCGTCAAGGTATGGGTACCCCGACATCTGAGGTAAGCTGCCACCACTGACATGCACTTGGTAAATACCCATGGTGCTATCACCAGGCTGAACGGAAGGACCACAAACTGATCGTGGTTGGGACCTACCGTGAACAGGAGGAAGCGTCTGTGTCCCTCGAAGATGGTGATGTGGAAGTACGCATCTTTCAGATTGAGGGCAACATACCAGTCTCCCGGATCCAGGGAGGGGATGATGGAGGCCAGGGAGACCACGCGGAACTTCAGTTTTGCTAAGTAGCAGTTCAAGCCCCGAAGGTCTAGTATGGGCCGGAGACTGCCGTTGGCATTGGGGATTAAAAAGTATCAGTAATAGAACCCCTTGTTCCTGTACTACTCCACAGGAACTACTTCCACTGCACCCAGCTGCAGTCGACCCTCTACCTCCTGTGCGAGAAGACTCTTGTGAGAAGGGTCCCTGAAGAGATATTGGGAGGAGGGGTGGGAAGGGCGGGTAGAAAATATCTGAAGGGTGTAACCCTGCGCCACCGTATTGAGGACCCATCGGTCCAATGTTATAGACACCCATGCAGGGAGGAAGGAAGAAAGGCAGTTGGCAAATAGAGGGGAGGAAGGATCTGGAAAACAGTCCGGTAGGTCGCCCTCGGGCATACCCTCAAAACAGGTGCTTGCCCATCCGCTAACTGCGGGTCGAGCTCGACTGGGATGTAGACAGGGGTTGGTGGCCAGGTCATCTCTTGTAGCCCCTGGATTTTTTTGTGGGGAGGCTCCTGGCAAGGGTGGCTCCCCTGGCTTTGAGACTGCTGTGGATTAAGCCACTTGCAGGAAGGGCCGGGGATGTACAAGCCCAGTGTTTTCAGGGTCATGCAGGAATCTTTCAGGCCATGGAGTTTATTGTCCATCTGTTCTGCGAACAGGGTGTGCCCGTCAAAAGGAGGTCTTGCATTGACTGCTGAGCACCCAAAGAAAGGCCAGAGAGGAGCAGCCAAGAAACCCTACCCAACATGATGGCCGATGCCATGGTATGGGCGGCGGTGTCTGCCACGTCCACCACTGCCTGGAGAGTTGCTCTGGCTGTAGTCGAGCCCTCATCCATTACTGCCTGGAACTCCTTCCTAGAAGCCTCAGGAAGGGAGCTCTTGAACTTGGTCATGGCCTGCCACATATTAAAATCATAGCGGCCTAGTAGGGCCTGATGGTTGGCCACCCGCAACTATAGACCGGAGGACGAATAAACTTTATGCCCAAACAGGTCTAGTCCGAGTCTTTATTCTTAGGGGTAGCCCCCGGTTGACCCAGTCTCTCTCTGTGGCTGACTGCCTCTACCACTAGGGAATTGGGAGCAGGGTGGGTATAAAGGTACTCGTGACCCTTGGATGGCATAAAGTACTTGCACTCCGCTATCTTGGAGATCGGAGACAAGGAGGAGGGGGTTTGCCAGAGAGCATTTGTAATTTTCGTGACCCCCTCATGTAGAGCCAAAGCTACCCTGGCCGCGGCTACGGGGCAGAGAACATCAGAGAGAGAGTCTGCGGGCTCCTTTAACTCCTCCGCCTAGAGGCCCAGGATGGCAGCGACCCTCTAACAGCTCCTGATGTGCCTTAGCATCATCCTGGGGAACCAGTGGAGAGGGCCCCACTATAGCCTCGTCTGGCGACAACGAGGAGGAAGCCAGTACCAAGGGGTCCTCCGCAACCAGAGGTGGTCCAGCAGTTTGCTCGCCCACTTCCTCCTGTGCCTATTCTGTTACTCAATCCACAGCCATTAGGAAAGGCTGGCATAGTCACCAAAGCAGCAAAATAGAAGTTATGGGCGGAGACAGCGGGGATGGAATCTGGATGTGCTAGCTCACTATTTTACGAGGAAACATTAGGGTGTTTATTCAAACAGAGTAGCAGCCAATAGCTATTTTAGAACAGGCTGTCACACAAAGCAGTCACAGAGAGGTACGGGCTGTTAGTACAACTACAGGATGAAGTCCTTCAATCCAGAGAAACTCGTTATCCCTAGGAGAGGCTTGAAGAAAGGTTCATCTGTCCAGAGAATTCGGGTCTCTTCAATGCCCTTGTTAAATTTATTAGCTAGAGGGATTTCTCTGGGTCTCCTTACTTGGCCCGGCGTAGGTGGGAATAGCTCTGGATAGTCCTCTCCACTGCTTCATCCAGGCTCACCACCGGCTTGTAGCCCATGTCCCTTTTGGCCCTCTTGCAACTGTAGTAATGGAATGTCCCAGCTAATGCTACCCGCATAGGGGTGAAGGTAGGTTTGATCGTGATGAGTGGACTCAGCAGCAGCAACACCAGAGACAGTAAGAGGGCTAAGTAATATGCCACCCAATAGGGTATTTGGTATTTGGGTGCATCATAGTTCAAGCCAGTCAAGATACGAGACATGAATGACCAGAAAGGGACTGGCTCATCGTTTGTGATGTGAAATGCCTGAAAGAAAGAACACCAAAAAAAGGCCTTGTGATTAAATGTGACAGTTTGGACACATTTTTATAAAGTCCTAGTTTTCATTTCATTTTATTGTTGAATAGATTAACACCCGCAGCTTTGCTCTGATGATTCTTAGTATCAGACTTAAAAAAGAAAATTAACTACATTTAATATCAAGAAATGGCCATTTACGGAGCTACAACTCCCTCCCGTGTTAAGAGAGCCCACTGCTCCCAACAAACCAGAAGTGAAAATTCACACCCCCGAGTGGCATAGTTAAGCCAGCCTAAGTCCTCATGTAGACAGCTCTAGGTTGAGAGAAGAATTCTTCTGTTGACCTAGCTACCGCCTTTCGGGGAGGTGGATTACCTATGCCGATGGGACCAACCCTCTCATTGGTGTAGACAGTGTCTACACTGAAGCGCTACAGCTGTGCAGCTGTGCCACTGTAGCATTTTAAGCGTAGACAAGACCTCAGACTATTAGTGACTGTTGCACTGCTTAATTCTTTACCCAAAGATAACCTTGAGAATTTCTGCTGCTTTGGAGTGGGTGTTTTGTAACTATGTTATACTTTTTAAGTGCTTAGAGCTTTGATTGAGCAGTAAGTTTAAGTCCATCTATGTTTAGCCCTTATGGTTGCAAGAAGCTTTTAACAGATGCACAGCCATCTGAATGAATCTGCAGCCAAAAAAAAAATAGCGAAGAGGTGCGAACTACCTCCATTGGTCTTCAAAGTTAACATCCCATTGAGACCAATACTTCCATGTCAGTATTAACTATTTTATTGCCAATCCTACTAGCAGAAACATGCAGCTATTTCAGGAGTGTGGGCAGAGCATGGATAGGGTACCACACTCCCCCCACCCCAGCTAAGTCCCGACCATGGGGTGTGGCAGAGCAGTGCATGTTGGGGTGAGGAGATGGCATCTGAGGGAAGTTTACACAGCACTTTTTCATAGTGGGTTTTATTCTAGTTAGTGCAGTCACTTTCCCGTGCAATAAAAATTCATCCAAGTCACTGAGAGGAAAGAAGAGCTAAGGGAATAAAATGTGTGTGAACAAAGAAGACACAAAGAAATGTAATCTCTGATCACACCCAGTTTTGCTATCCATATGCAACGGAGAGAATACCTTACCTTCCCACACAGGGGCGAGTCTTTATGAAGATGCTCTGCAGCTAGTATGTGCCCATGGACCACATTTTCCACAAAGGTAAAGTCTACTAGGTTCTTCCCGTCCCTGCATACACAAAAGGAAAAAGCTTATCTCAATGTACAAGGCAGCTGAAAATCAGCAAGTGGTAAAAGGCAAAGCGACCAACATAGCTGAGCTCCCAACTACCTCTTCTGCAGATGTCAGAAAAAGGTGTTGCTTCAGGGCTGGAGCACCCATGGGGAAAAATTAGCGGGTGCACTGCACCCACCAGCAGCCAAGCTCCCCTCTCCTCACCTCCTTCTTCTCCCCCCACCCAGCACACCGTGTCCCCACTCCTCCCCTTCCCTCCCAGCACTTTCCGCCCCCCCAACCTAACAGCTGTTTGGCGGCACTCAGGACTTTCCAGGCGGGAGGGGGAGGAGTGGGGAGAAGAGACAGGGCAGGGATGGGGACTTGGGGGAAGGAGGTGGAATGGGGGCGGGAAGGGGGCAGGGCTGGGAAAAGGTGGGGCGGGGCAGAATGGGTGTGGGGCGAGCGTGGTGCAGGGGCAGGAAGAGGTGGGACAGCGCCGGGGTCAAGCACCCACCGGGCAGAGGGGAAGTCGAGAAGTCTCTAAGGCTTTGTCTACACTATGGACCTTACAGTGGCACAGCTGTACCGCTGCAGCTGCGCCACTGTAAGGTCTCCCATGTAGCTGCTCTATACTGATGGGAGAGAGCTCTCCCACCAGCATAATTAAACCATCCCCGGTGAGTGGTGGTAGCTATGTTAATGGGAGAGTGCGGTTTTTTTCACACCCCGATCGATAAAAGTGCTAGTGTAGACAAACCTAAATCACTATTCAGGAGAGCAGAGCAAGCCTGGCACCATCCCAGCTCCTATCCAAAGCCTTCAAAACCAGCAGTCACATCTAATTGAAATCTGAAGATTTGGGGACCCACAGAACATCAGTGAAACAATCCACAGAAGCAGAACAGATATGGATATTGTATCTAGCACAAAAGTGGTCATTTAAGGACAAGCTTTCTGCTCAATTATGAATTTGCCTGGCTCATTAAATTTAAATTTCATCCAAATTTGGCCCTGGCCAAAATGAGGGGGATCTTCACCTGCTTACATCAGAGTTGAATTTAACCCACTGTGTTCATTAAATCAACAACTGGATTGTCAGATGCACTCTCCTAGCCCCTATCCCCGAAAGCAAATTTTTGTGAAACAATTATCCTGATGATTTATAATTTTCAGTCATTGTGGATTTAATGGGCCATACAAAGACAGAAAAGAAAATATTCTTCACTGGAAGGGAATACATGAGTGTTTCTAGTTCTGCAGAGGCAACAGCTTTCTGATGGAGGAAAGTGGAGACTGTACAAGAAATGTTTCCGTAACATAAGATGGGAAAGCTTAAATTTATTTGGATTAATGATTCATAAAGCAGCTTGAGAGGGGAAGTTTAACTGATGGCAGAGGTGCAAGCTAACACAAAAGCCACACAAGACACCTCTCTCTCTAAATATCAGGGGGTAGCTGTGTTAGTCTGTATCCACAAAAATAACAAGGAGTCCGGTGGCACCTTAAAGACTAACAGATTTATTTGGGCATAAGCTTTCGTGGGTAAAAAACATCTGAAGAAGTGAGGTTTTTTTACCCACGAAAGCTTATGCCCAATTAAATCTGTTAGTCTTTAAGGTGCCACCGGACTCCTTGTTTTTTCTCTCTAAATATATCTCTCTCACACACCTCTACCCCTCCCAGTATGCAATTAAATCTATCATAAGCTGGATGGGAAATTTATTTTTTAAATCACAATACATGAGTCTAAGAAAAGTCTTAATGGCAGTCAGTACTATTTCTTGCTCTAAATTTTAAATTCCACACTACAAGTTGTGACACTTGCAATGAGGAAGCCAAGTTTTTGAACCTTATTATAGTTATCAATATGAATATCAAAATGCAATTTAAGTTTTGAGATCACAATAAGAGAGTTGAAAGCAAGAATTGTATAACACTAGATGAGTTAATGTAACACAATCCATGCTCTGTCAGGTCTTATTGCATATTATAGATGAACGTAACTGGAACATGCTGAATGTGTGACTGGTCAGCTTTGAACTACTGTCAAAACTACTAGGGCTGTGGCATTTGAATGTAACCTCTCTCTGATTTACAGGTCAATCTTTGGTTTGACCTGTAATGTCTCAATCATAATTTAGCCATAATGATCAAGAATCTTCACTATAAGCTAGCATAGAACAACAAACTCTTAAAGATGGTCTATCTGATAAAGGCTCATATGCCACTCATTACTGTTGAGTCTTAGCACCTTCCAGTAGTGCATTAAGCAATATTTGTACATAGTTATATTATAATTATATACATTTGTTCTAGATTGTTCATAGATAGCTCAAGTGATGTAGTCTCTTCAAACAAGAGACAAACTCATCTCAGTGCCAGTATCCCACAAAAAGAAGGCTTCTTCAAAATGAATCCTGGGTCAAAGCAGTGGTGGTATAGCTGGGGAACCCATCATTTCCTGGAATTTTTTTTTATGATTCCTGAGTAGGTTCTGTGTAGAAGTTGATGGACTGTTAAATCACACATTCTGCCTAGTTCTTGGGCATCTCCAGTCAGGGCCTTTGATTTAACATTGGAGAAGCACCATCCATATCTTTAATACTACAGATTTAATAATACTCTCTTCCAAAAGGGGCATGTCACTTTGGTATCAAATTTCCCATGAGACAAAGATGTCTGAGCCTCTCTCACCCAATCATGAACTTCATTTTGCCACTCTTAGCTGCCTGAATGAGGATGGGAACCAGCTGGAGGTCCCTGGGACCAAATATCCCATGAGGGCGAATGGCCGTTGTGAAGAAATTATCATCTGGGTCATTAGCATTTAACACTTCCTGTGGGAGACAAAAAGTTAGTCAAGAAAGACTAGGGAGACCAACAGATGGCTTTGAAATGCATCCCTTGCATCATCCCATTGAACTGCTTCTCACTAGAAAAATGCTTCCTCTGCATCTTTTGGGGAAACCTCACTCCAGCATCAATATACAAGCTAATGCCCATCTATGCCTTTGGGGAACACCTTTTTCCACTGGATTGCCTCCTTTTTTCCACTTCTCTTCCGGTCAGGAAGGCAGCAGACAAGGCCGCATCCAGTTTCATTGTCAGACACAACTTCACAGATCGGCCAGCAAAGGAGGTCTCTCAACAAAGAAATCATATCTATAGGTGAACAGTGGAACCCTGGAACTTTTGGAACTGCACCGCTCCATCCCATTCCTTGCTTAGGTAGTGGGGAATAGGAGAATCAGAAAATTATTTTTCCCACCCCAAAATCCTTTAGCTCGTCAATAAATGAAAGATTTCCATCATTAGCTTCCTTAATGCACCTTTTGAGAAAGCATCATCTCACTCCACTGGAAGCACTAACTGATAACATGCAGACTTAGTTTATTTTTATTTCCATTAGGAGTTTCCAAACAACATGTTCTACCATATTCCAGCAGCTGGTGTCTTTCCCAGAAGAAACCCATGTTATTTGTTATGAAGTACTGAGTTGTATGTGCAAATAAATATGGATATTTCCACTGCTTTGACAAAAAACAAAGGCATAATTATGGGCATATTGGGCTGGATTTGTCTAATCGTGTATTCATAAGCCTCCTACTCTATTAGTTCATCAATCTGCAAGGCAGCTGAGTTTGCAAATGAACGGATGCTCTGATGCGATTTTTGAATAGCAAGTACATAGCTTTTTTTAAAAAAAGCTACGCGTTTTTTTAAGGAATGCAAAAAGGCTGTTACGCCTAATACTTTTGCTTAAAGGGACACTGTCAACTTAAATTGGTATTCAAATGTAAATTCTGCTGAAAACTTTATGAAACTTGTAGTTGGAATTAAAAAAAAAAGGTATGGAAACAATCTCAAGGATTTGGTTTTGTTTCATTTAAACAGTCCCCTGCCATATTTAACACCCAACTCCTGCAGTACAAAGAACTTGAATGTGAAATAGACTTCAGGGATTTTCAGTGTCCCAAGTGGGAGAAAATGCAAAGTGCACAAAGACAGACAAGATTTTGCTTTCATAATGGAAGATGTTCTCAGCACCAGAGGCAACAAAATGTGTTTGTACAACATGTGATTAAGTTGACAATGTCCCTTTAACTTTGCCCATCTCAGTCTCACCTTCCTGCTCTTTCCATAGTAATCCTCTGGCACACCTTCTCCACAAATAAACATGTCTCAAACGTATACCCTACTTCAATAGCCTAACTTATGCCACAGGTTTACTTTGCTCTCTTTTCTATTAAGAAAAGGTACTGCTGGTATAAGGGCAGGTTTGACAGCTGTGGAGACAAAGTTCTATATTTATCCAAAGAACAGGAACAGCATGAGCATCTGCTGTGAAAGCATCTTTTCCACTGCTTCATCAGTGTACCATGATGCTATTTTAAAGGCACCAGGGGAGATTTTCAAAGGTGCATGCAAACCACTATTTCTATTTTTGAAAGTCTCCATCATCTCTACATGAGAGATATTTGTGCATTCTTTATGGTTCATTAATGTCTTTGCCGAGACTCCCAGCAAGGAGACAAAAAAGTTACCCGCCTTTTCGTAACTGTTGTTCTTCGAGATGTGCTGCTCATATCCATTCCATTCTAGGAGTGTATGCGCCCACGTGCACTGTTGTCGGAGACTTCTGCCTTAGCAGTAGCCGGAGGGCCGGCTGTGGTGCCCCCTTGAGTGCCGCACTCATGCGTCGGTATATTAGGCACCGCCGGCCCTACACCCTCTCAGTTCCTTCTTGCCGGCAACTCCGATAGAGGGGCAGGAGGGCGGGTAATGGAATGGACATGAGCAACACATCTTGAAGAACAGTTACGAAAAGGTGGGTAACCATTTTTCCTTCGAGTGCTTGCTCATGTCGATTCCATTCTAGGTGACTCACAAGCTGTATCCATGGAGATGGACTCGGAGTTCACGGTCGTGCGGCTTACAGCACTGCTCTACTAAAGCCAGCATCGTCTCGAGCTTGTTGGGTAAGCACATAATGAGACATGAATGTGTGAATGGACTACCAGATAGCGGCCCTGCAGATATCTTGAACGGGCACTTGGGCCAGGAAGGCAGCTGCCGAGGCTTGTGCTCTAGTTGAGTGGGCGGTGACAAATCGCCGGCGGAGGCAGCTTCGCCCATCATAGCAGAAACAGATGCAGGCAGTGATCCAAAATGAAATCCTCTGGGCGGACACCCGACAACCTTTCATCCTATCTGCCACCTCAATGAACAACGGAGTCAATTTGCGAAACAGTGTGGTCCTGTCTATGTAGAAGGCTAGCACTCTCCTGACATCCAGGGAGTGCAACCTATGTGCCGCCTCAGACTTCTGAGGCTTTGGAAAGAAGACTGGCAAGAATACGTCCTGGCTCGTGTGAAACTGCAAAACCTCCGTGGGCAGGAAAGCCAGGTGTGGCCGCAGCTGGACCTTGTCCTTGAAGAACACAGCATACAGCGCTTCCAATGTGAGTGCCCTAATCTCGGAAACCCTTCGGGCAGAAGTTATAGCCACCAGGAATGACACCTTCCAGGAGAGCAGAAGAGAACAGAACACCAAGGGCTCGAAGGGGGCTTTTGTGAGCTGAGTACCAGATTAAGGTCCGATGAAGGGACAGGATCCTGGACTTGAGAGTTGAGCCGCTCCCGACCTCTTAAGAACCAGACCGTCATGCCAGGCGCAAAGACCAATCTGCCCTGGAATGGAGAGTGAAAGGCTGATATAGCAGCCAAGTGGACCTTAATGGATGAAAGGGACAACCCCTGGAGCTTAAGATGCACTAGGTAGTCCAGGATCAGCTGAAGCGAGACCTGCTCAGGCCCAATCCGTGAAAACGTGAAGCTTTTCCATTAGCCAGATAGGTGGCTCTAGTGGAGGGCTTTCTGCTTCCCAGTAGGACCTGCTGGACTCAAGCCGAGCACTCCTACTTCTCAGTAATCAACCATGGAGCAACTAAGCTGTGAAGTGCAGCAGCCAGCTGTGATTCTGCGACAGGAGATCCAACCAACGGGGCAATGGCATCGGGTCCAATACTCACAGGTCCACAAGCATACTGAACCAGTGCAGGCGAGGCCAAGCCAGGGCGATCAGGATGACCTTTGCCTTGTCCCGCTTGACCTTCATGAGGACATTGTGGAGCAATGACACCAGCAAGAAAGCGTAAATCAGAGCCTCTGACCACAGGAGTAGAAAGGTGTACAGCAGGAAGTCCCTGTCAATCCCCCGGAACAAGCAGAACAGGTGGCACGTCCTGTTCTGGCAAGTTGCAAACAGGTCCACCTGGGGAGATCCCCACTTCCGGTCGACCACATCAGGATGGAGAGACCATTCGTGGCGAGATAAGAAGTTTCTGCTGATGTGATCCGCCAAAACGTTCCTGGTCCAGGGGAGGTGCGCTGTCACGAGATGAATGGCATGCTACACACAGAAGTCCCAGAGCTGGAGAGCTTCCCAGCAAAGGTCTGATAACCTGGCTCCACCTTGTTTGTTGATATAAAACATCGTGGCAGTGTTGTCCATCAGGACTTGAACCACCTTGCCTTGTAGCTGGGACCGAAAAGCCTGGAAGACCAGGTGAACCGCCCTGAGCTCCCTGACATTTATGTGGAGGGAGCAGTTGACCCCCGACCAGCAGCCTTCTGTACTGAACCCTCCTAGGTGGGCTCCCCAGCCTACATCTGAGGCATCGGACACCAGAGTCAATGACGGGGCCGGGGCCGTGAAGGGAACTCCCTGCAAGACTGATGCAGGGTCCAGTCACCATGCCAGGGATGCCCGAAGGTGATCTGGCACCTCGACTACCGGGTCCAGGTTGTGCCTGTTGGGGATGTAGACCGACACCAACCACGCCTGCAGCGGGTGGAGATGGAGCTAGAGCTAGACATGGTGGACCACATTGGTGCAGGCCGCCATATGACCTAACAACCTTAGGCAGGTGCAGGTGGTGGTGAGCGGATGATCCCTCATATGGGAGACTACATCCGACATGGCTCAGAAGTGGGACTCCAGGAGGAATGCCCTTGCCTGCGTGGAGTCGAGAACCGCCCAGATGAACTCTATCCATTGCACTGGTACAAGGGTTGACTTCTTTTTGTTCACTAACAGGCCCAAGTTGCGGTGCATGGCTCGTACCAGATTGAGGCTAGTCTGCACGTGATCCTGTGATCTACCCTTGATGAGCCAATCGTCAAGATAAGGATAGATCCCCTGGGGTCTCAGGTAAGCGGCTACTGGGTCATGCATTTTGTAAAGACCCATGGGGCCGAGGATAGGCAAAAGAGGAGTGCTGTAAACTGGAAATGGCGCTAGCCCACCACAAAATGAAGGAACCACCTGTGTCTGGGAAGACAGAGATATGGAAATAAGTCTCTCTCAAGTCAAACGGCATACCAGTCTCCCAGATCTAGGGAGGGAATGATGAATACCATGCAAAACTTCGACTTCTTGAGGTATTTATTGAGCCATCACAGGTCCAGAATGGGACGTAGGCCCCCTTTTGCCTTTGGGATCAGGAAATAGTGAGAGTAGAATCTTTTCCCCCTCATTTCCTCAGGGACCTCCTCCACCGCTTCCTGTTGCAGTAGGTTGTTCACGTCCTAAACAAGGAGCTGCTCGTGAGAAGGGTCCCTGAAGAGGGATGGGAAAGAGGGGAGTTGGGAGGGAGGGGTGACCGAAAAACAGAGCGTGTAGCCTGATGACATGATGTCTAACACCCAATGGTCCGAGGTGATCCTTGACCAGGCCAAACAGAAGGGACGGAGACGGTCGAGGAAAAGGTGGGGCAGACCTGGGCAGGTGACTGTTGCATCACTCTCGAGCGCACCATCAAAACGAGTGCTTCTG